GGGGGGGGGAATTCAGCAATTCATCATCCCCACTTTACGTGCGTCACCACAGATTCGTTTGTCGTGGAATGGCTCTTTTACCTGCTTGCACTGCTCAACGTTCAGCATGACATTTGACACCCAGCAGTATCAGTCTGAGTCAGCTTTACGGGGTACCGACCGACAAGATACAGATCTCTGATAAACGCAGTCAAGGGATTAACCGGAGAATTATACCTCGTGCTTTGCTTTCTTCAACTCTCTGAGGACGCACATTGTTCACGTTTGAAGACACTCTGTTTTGGAGTATTTTAAAAATAAAGAAGCATAATCTGGTTACTTACTTGGTTACTGAGCTGGAGAACAGGTGTCCTTGCTGGAGGTACAATGCCATAGCTGTTCTGTCTTCCCTCCTCTCAAAGCGTACGACTTTACTATTCAGCATACACGATTTTCCCGCAATGCTCCAATATTCCAGGCGTGGTAGAGCCATTCGAATTCCGTGTGATTTCTACGGCCAATGGATTTTCGTCTCATTTTCTTAAACCCGTCGTAAAATTAGAGCATGAAATCTCTCAAATCATTAAGATAATTACACCTATACTTTGTACCTGATGGTTACGACAGATGGTGATAAGTTGATCCAACAAGAGTTGAATAATTCATACCTCCAAGCACGACATGTAGAAGAATTTATATTTTAAAAATTCAAGTGCAGTTGTCGAATAATACAAATAACAGGGACTTCACATTCACACTTCAAAGCATCAATGAAGTTTCGATGCCTCAAAATCGCTCAGGTACTAGTACTACTTGCCTACATAACTGCCAGCTTACGAGAAGATTGCACTGCAGAGTGGGATGTTACCCACCCCCACCCCCCAACCCCTTTTTCCATTTCCACAAATTAAGAAATAAATTCAAAGCATTTTTGGCGATTGATATCACAGCGACCCCATAAGTGGCTCAACCGAAAGTGAACACCCTGGGTGTTGGTACATGTAGTGGGTCGAGGGAGTTTTTTTATCCCGCTTTTATCAAAGAAAATTAAAGTTTTGATGAAGGAGAGATTTGGGCGTCGGTTTGGGGGGGGGGGGTCAAAAAAGAGTAAGACTGACTTGTTGTGGGGAAGACATTTCCCGAAAGACTAGGCACGAATGGTGCTTTGGGAAATGTTATGTCTCTGACACGTTCTATTGGAGTTGAAGGACTTTTAACTCTGTCTCTACTCCCGTGTTCAAAAACCTAAGACTCGAGGGCGTTTGGTGGACTTCCTTTGAACTAAAAGATAGAGACACGGTGATGAAGTGGGTAAAATACGGCAATAATGGAAGCGGTGTGACGAAGCTGCTTTATTCAGTTTAAGTTGAGACATAATAGCGTTATTTATAGGCAACAGGTAGATCGGATGTTTAGGGGCATGTATCTCTTTAAAAGCAATTTGCCTTAATTTTATTTTACTAGGGTTTTTTTTTTAATTAGGTATAGTGCATCTAAACAACTGGACGATGAAATGTTGTTATCGATCCAGCAACAGTTGGGGTCTCGCTCTTCTGTCCAATGCCATGTAGTAATTAGTGCAGGTTTGCTGCAGCTGCATTGTTCCATTGTGTTGTCAATGTTAGGTCTCGGAGGGCGGAGTGTAGCTCTGATGTAAGGCTGTGCAGTGGAACAGGTGATGATCCACAGTCTCACATGTGTAGTCACACAATGGGTACGTTGGGGGAAATTCTGGTTTTATTCTGTTCAAATGGACGTTGAGCTGTGTATGTTGTTCTGTTCGCAGGCGGAAGATCATGGTCTGTTCCTTTCTAATAATAATAATAATAATAGATAGCATTTGTATAGCGCATATCCCCGCTCAGCAGCAGGCTCTATGCGCTTAATAATAATAGATAGCATTTGTATAGCGCACAACCCCACTCAACAGCAGGCTCTATGCGCTTTACACTATATTATTACCCCAGCAGACCATAGAACACTCCGAAACATTCTCAGCTTCCCAGGAAGCATACAGTGCGAGCTGCCGATTAAGCGCTCAAACACTAACAAACTGACAAGATCTTTCGCTGTCTATAGCCGGGTACCCAATCCCACCTGGGTGAAGTGAGGAAAATTCGTGTAAAGTGCCTTTCCCAAGGACACAACGTCGGGCCCTTGACGGGATTCGAACCCACGACCTTACGGTTGCGAGTCCGAGAGCCTAACCACTAGGCCACCGACGCCACTCTCTGAAAGTGGATGAAATTATCATTTCGTTTTGTTGTGATCATTTTGAAAATTGCTTTGTCTGTCTTTCCCATGGCCTGTTTGGTTGTCCAATCTTATTTGCTGTGGCTTCTAATTATTTGTTTTGCATTTTTGCATGAAGTTTGAATGTTGGGTTGTTCCTTTCTAGAGACCTTTGTCAAGTGTGTCTGCTCTGTCATTTCAAAGTGTGTTTGAGTGTGTGGGAATCCACTGCATCACCAGGTTGACACCATACCTAGGATGTTACCAGTTGGTGGGAGCCAAACAGTATGTGTGTCAGACCTTGGTTTAGATGATGGCCATTTTCTACTGCTTGTGAAAGACTGATAGTGAGTCAGTGAAAATCACAATACTCTGTGCTTTGCCAGGATGGACGACGATATAATCTAAATTCTTTTTATCAATGAAAATCAGACGCGTACATTTATACTGCGGAAGCTGATCTCTGTGAGCTGCGTGACTTTCGTTTGCAGTGGACTGACAGACAGCTGCGATAGTGTGGGGTCGCTTCCCGTGAGGTCATTTCCTGTGGGGTTATTTCCTGTGAGGTCATAGCGTTCAGAAGCGTCCTTGTTCCCGCCAAGACTTTTTGCCTGCAGCGTTAGCTAATTAGCAAGTGGTCGCCACACACTGGAAGCAGGGGAAAGGGTTTGGGGGGGGAGGAGGGGTGGGGGGTGGGGGGCTGATATGGAGACGGAGGGAAAGAAGAGAAAAAATATCCTGAGCTAAGTGTGCACAGGTGTCCCTGGTGTTTGTTTTTATTCAACATAATTATGTATATTTTTATGTACATCGATTGAACGTGGTGTGTCTGCGAGTATTTTTGTGGGACAGTTTTAATTCAAGCCTGTACTGAAGATATTATGTTATTTTTACTCAATATTAATAATAATAATAATAATAATAATAATAATAATAATAACACTACTACTACTACTACTACTACTACTACTATTACTACTACTACTACTACTACTACTACTACTACTACTACTACTACTACTACCACTACTACTACTACTACTACTACTACTACTACTACTACTACTACTACTACTACTACTAATGATAATAATAATAATAATAATAATAATAATAATAATAATAATAATAATAATAATAATAATAATAATAATAATAATAATAAAATAGCCATAACATTAACAGCAATAACAAAATAATAATAAGAACAATAATAATAATAATAATAATAATAATAATAATAATAATAATAATAATAATAATAATTTATTAATAATAATAAAAGGGTCAAACCATTCAAAAATCCATCTGTGAAAAAAAGAGGTATAACACTGTAGTGGTTTCCTTCCATCAATATTTCCAAAGATTCGGAGACGTCTGACAGTACTCTGGGGGTTAGGCACTTTGCTGTCACACGCAGGAGACCCGAGCTCGATTCCCGAGTGGGGAGAAGTTTTGTCGAGTATCTCACATCTTTTGGCTGGGATACTGTATCCCTCTTAGCCCCGGGTTGGTTTGGGCTGGCATGATCGGAAGCCCGCTTCCTAAATGACCTAGCTTGTGTCAATGAGGGTGTAAAGACACTTACATCTTCAAAAAGTATTGAATAAACGTTTGAAAAACATCTTTTAAATGAACAAAAAGTTCATAAACTCACAAATACATGAGGACCAGCCCGGGGTTTTTGAGAGTAATTTGAGAGTTTGGCGTTTGTTTAGACAACTGGCCTGAAATAGCAGAATCTGACTCTGGTATGTCTGTATTATGTCTGCACGGAAATGAGGAAGTGAGCATGTGAATATAGACGATAAACAGGGAGGGAAAGAGAGAGAGAGAGAGGGGGAGGGGAGGGAGAGAGGGAGAGAGAGAGAGAGAGAGAGAGAGAGAGAGAGAGAGAGAGAGAGAGAGGAGGGGGGTGAGAGGATGAAGGGGAGATTGAAAGAGGTGGGGACAGACGTTAGACGGACAAACAGACAGACAGACAGACAGACAGACAGACAGACAGACAGACAGACAGACAGACAGAGAATTGTACAAGGCGTCAACTTGACAGAGGCAACATAAGAAGGTTGGGTTTTTTTAAGACACGCCATATCATTTTGCTAATACTATACCTTCCGCTCAGCTTTTCAACCACCTTACCTGTGACAAACAGCGCGACTACAGTCGAAATTGTCCTAAATGGCCAGCAATTTTAAAGAGAAATATGGTGGTCTTAGACAGGTGGACATCTTGGACAGTGTTATGTTTTAAATAGTAAAAAGAAGAACCTCGGCACAATAATGGTCTTTTAGTGCTGGGAAAAAGTAAGACAGATAGACAGAAACAACGGAAAGAAAGTAATGAAGTAAGACCTACCAGTGGCACCCTCCAACCACCCACGGACAGTGTTATTACAATAGTGTGGTCGCTTTTAAGGACAAACGGGCTGACCCAGTTTTTGGAGCTTTCCAGAAGTCTCGACCTACACCCAAAATGGGCATTGCCCTACCTAAAGGAGAAGTTTGGTTTCATTGGTGTGTATATTTGTTTGGTTATAGAAAAAACTCTTCTTGTCTTTTAAAGATACTGAACAAGGGGCAAAAACGTTACCTTCGATTTTCTCAAAATACAGCATTTTTCGGGATAGCCCCCTTGTGCTTAAAAGCGGCCATAGGTAAGAAGTAAAGAGAGAAATGGGAAGTGGTCGTTTTGTACAGGTGATTGTCTTGGACAAGTGGTCGATTGAGTAGGTTTTATTGTATTTGTGACACATTTTCTTGAACCATTTTTCTTTCTCTTTGTTCCAGAAGTAATGTAAGACGCTGTGAGTCGTATACCCCGGGGAGGAGGTGTGCAGACATGAAGAAGAAGGAGGCTCCTCACTCTCTCCGTCAACGGCATGGTGCGGCCTTGACCCTGACCCCGACCCTGACCTTGACCGCGGCCAATGTCATCAATGTCATGGTCGTTTGTTGGGCCTCCGCCTCGCTCCTGACGACGGTGGGAGCAGACGAGTGCGGCACGAGATTCGTGGATCCGGCCTCCAGCGCCGTCAGGGCACAAGCGGTTGTCATGGTGAGGGACGGATGGTTTTTATTTTGACAACGCTACGGATCTAACTTTACTGTGTGGCCATACCTTAAGGTGGACTGAGAGACAAATACATAGAGAAGTGCTCCAAATAGCATGGCAGATTGTGAAAGATTTGTAAACAGAACCATCAGTATATTGTCTTTATTCATGCATGGTTGTTGTTGTTTTTATTCAGTTTTTCTTTAGTTTAGTTTTAGTAAGGTTTTACGGCGCTCGCAACTGCATAAGGTCATATGAGTGCCAAGCGGTGGATGTCAAGAGAGAAGTCCAAACGGGGAACCAGGCTTACTCTGCTCACCTCTCTAGCCTCAACAGCACAAAGTCTTCTTCGACTATCAAGGCACCCTGGAAACAGCAGTTCACAAGAAAGTGACAAACATACAAAAGAAGTAGAGGGCAAATGACGATAGTAAGGATGAGGAAAGAAAAGCAGCAGCTCCTCCTATGTTGTTCCGGCACATTATGAGCGTGGCATTGATAAATAAGCCCATTTGCAATTCTACTGTGCGTAAGAACATGTTAATACCCCCCCCCTTTTTTTTTTAGGGAATGGCTTGAAGACAACTTCAGTCAGAAGCACTGCCCTGGTGGGGGGTCGGTTTTTCTGACAGCATAATGCATACTATGAAATGCACAAAATCATGTTTCCTAGCTGTGTATCGTGGTTCAAAATGTGCCGAAACATTGCCATCAATATGCCACTGATTATACATTTTATGTATCCTTTACGTCCATAAAGAGTTGCCTACTTCTAACGACACTATACACAATACCCGTATCCACAGGGCACAGTGATGGAATGGAACCCGTCCGCTCGGCACGAGAGGACCCGCAGCGCTAACGTGAGTGTGGAGAAGGTGTACAAGGGGGAGGGCATCGTGAACAACGCGCGTGCCGGCGACGACAGGATGATCATGGTCAGTCAGTTCGGCCGCGAGGACAAGGACAGCTGTGTGGCTTCTGACACAGGTAAACTATGGGTAGAATTCTGACACAGGTAAACTATGGGTAGAATTCTCACACAGGTAAACTATGGGTAGAATTCTGACACAGGTAAACTATGGGTAGAATTCTGACACAGGTAAACTATGGGTAGAATTCTGACACAGGTAAACTATGGGTAGAATTCTGACACAGGTAAACTATGGGTAGAATTCTGACACAGGTAAACTATGGGTAGAATTCTGACACAGGTAAACTATGGGTAGAATTCTGACACAGGTAAACTATGGGTAGAAATCTGACACAGGTAAACGACTGATAGAATTCTGACACAGGTAAACGACGGATAGAATTCTGACACAGGTAAACGACTGATAGAATTCTGACACAGGTAAACTATGGTTAGAATTCTGACACAGGTAAACGACTGATAGAAATCTGACACAGGTAAACGACAGGTAGAATTCTGACACAGGTAAACGACGGAGAGGTGTGTCACGGGATTAAGAAAATGCTTCTGACACAGGTAAACAATGGGTAGAACTCTGACAAAGATAAACGACGGATACGTCTAAGCCAGGTATAATATCTGTGCCACAGAATTATGAAAATGCTTCTGACACAGGTAAACGACGGATAGGTCGAGATAATAATATCTGTGCCACAGTATTAAGAAAACGCTTCTGACAGGTAAACGACGGATAGGCCCAGATGATCTATGGGTTACAAAATTAAGAAAATGCGTCTGACACAGATATACAACGGATACGTCTAGTTGTCTCTGTGTAGCAATATGAAGGACATGCTTTTGACATAGGTATACAATGGATACCCAATAAATGGGTCTCTGACACAGGTTAACTATAGATAGGACTAGATAATCTCACAGTTGCTGAATTAAGAAAACGCCTCTGGCACAGGTATACAGTGGATAGGTCCACTTCTTCATCTCAGAGATGGGTAAGTCTAGATATCGCTCGAGTCGCGGTTAACTCACTGTTGGCGAGTATTCTTTTATGTCATTCGACAATGTCCGAAGACCCTCTGTTTGAGGGCACTTTGCGAAGGAAGTATAAACACGTTATTCTGTTCTTTGTCGTGTCAGACACTCAAAGAGGCAGGCAACAACGTGCATACTATGAGATATGCGGGCTCGCATTTTTTATATGTACATGTTGGTTCGAAACACGCCGCAAAACACTGTCTTTGGTGTGCTTCTGATTGGACGCATACGTCCAAAACATCCTTAAAAAGCTAAATGAATGGCAAGAGGAGAAAGGTGCCGTACCCCTCTAGACTTTGGCGAGACTAGTGTTTTGCACCTCATGTTGGTCCCACGATATGCATCCTTCACAAATAATTTTGTTTGTTTGTTGTTGGTGGTTTTTGTTGGGGTTTTGTTTGTTTGTTTGTTTGTTTGTTTTTTGCTTGTTTTTTGGGGGAGACAAAAGAGCGGAGGTCATGGCAGTGCACGGTCTGAAATAATGTACATTATAATTATACTTCATTGAATCTATGTCTATGCGTTCTCCTCAATCTGAGCCTCTTCCTCTCCCAGAGATGACGTCAGAAAAGAAGCACATCTTCTTCCTACGTCAGAGCCACCACCGCGGCATGCTACAGATGTCCGCCCTGCCCCTCCCCATGGAGTCCCGGGCCGAGAGGCGAGTCCGGCGCTCTCTGTGTGACACATGTGTCAGGCCACCACGCATCAAGAAGCTGGTGTGTAGGGATTGTGCACAGCCGCCCAAGATGAAGGACATCAAGCCGAAAAAGGTTGGGTTCTTAACTTGGACTTTTATTTTTTTTATTTGTTCATAATTTGTTGCAGTTGGGGGTCGAGGGATAATGCAGTTTTCTATGTTAGGCGAACTCTGCAGTTCTTTCAATTGAGATGTTGAAGGAATTCCAGGGGCCCCTTAACCCTAACTTGAACTAATCTGAAACAATAATATCATTTAAAATGTACTGTCGATACGGGTCTAACACCCTTTTGAATACTGTAAGATTATTTAAGAGGTGGAATTCTTGAATTTAAAAGCTGTCTCCAAGAGAATGGAGCCAGATAACAAAAGGGCCTTTTAAAGCTCCCCCAGACAACCAAACTTCAAAGATGCCTTTTTTTTGGGGGGGGGGGGGGTCGAAAAAGTGGTGAATTCCTGCTTCGTTTACCAACAGAAAGATTCAGTTCCGGGAAAACCCAATTTTTTAAAACGGGGGTGTTTTTTTTCCCCCCCCCCCCCCCCCCCCCCCAGGTGACCATGGGTAGAAAAGTCAGACTACGATGTGTCGCCAAGAGCCAGCCGCCGCCATCTTTTTCCTGGTCCAAGAACGGGATCCCCGTGACCACCGGAAATGGCGGCATAACTATCCGTACGACAGCCACGTCCTCCTCGCTGCTCATTCTGAAGACAATGAGCGCTCACGCCGGAGAGTAAGTTCCCTTGGTTTTGTCACCTTAGCAGAGAATGTGCAAACCGTTTCGGAACTTCACGGTGTCTGTAAAGATGGTTCCAGTAGGGAACGGGATAGAGGGTGCCCACGTCCCTCGTGACTCATTGGAGCAGAGGAAAATAAGACTAACGCTAACATTGTTTAAACGCCATCCCACATCATCACTCATCACCACCATTATTCCTAAAATTATCATTGCTCTCAGATCAACGACTTACATCTACAATCCTGGAATCTCTATCTGTAACAGTTACGTGTCATACTAAGTGCACGTAATACACTATTGGACACTATCATACGCACTTTTTTTCTACTAATCAGATAGCGTCAATCTCATATAAATGGGCAAAGGATTCAAAATATGTTTGTAAGTTCCCTTGATTCTGGCGCCCTCTTGATTCTGCGACCTTAGAATAAACCACTGTAGTAAAATTGTGGGCTTCTTGAAGAACTAGGGGCCTATCTCGTTTGATTTCTTTTTCTTGCAATAAATTCTTACGGGAGACTTCTGAGAATTTCTTGTAAGGAAAAGACAACAAATGAGTTAGTACTTGAAGAAGCTCGCTCGCTGATAAAAACATTTAGGAAGAGGCAAATGCAGTTTCTATGACACTTGAAAAATACATAGAGGGCTTGAACATCTAGTTCTCACTGGCAAAATGGAAGCCAAAGAGGCAGGAGTAGATCTAGAGCAAGTTACTTGGAGAGCCTAAACGGATGTGTGGCGGAGAAAGATCACCATCATCATCATCCAGTGCCAGATCTGCGACAGACATCGGCGATCATGGTTCTCCATTCATTCCTTTGCTCGGATGCTCTTTAAAAAAACTACGTTTCCCTGATCTTTCCCTGTTACCCATTTGTTTAGGTTACCTAAGTATGTTGTTCTGGGCCTACCCCTGCCTCGCTTGCCCTCAATTTTGCCAGTGAAAGCTAGATGTTCAAGACCCTTATGTCTATTCAGGTGTCCTAAAAACTGCATTTGTCTTTTCCTGATTGTTTTTAACATTGAGAGTCCCAAGTGGGCTTCATCAAGCACTGAAAGATCAGGATAATAATATTATAGCTTTTTTTAGAGCATCCGAACGAAGGATTGTCTGTCGCAGATGATGATGATGATGATGATGATGATGATGATGATGATGATGATGATGATGACGATGATGAGTGAAAACAGTTTGGGGGTCGACTGACTGAACAGTGCTTATACCAGCCTTTTTATAACCAGCATTCACTTTTACCACCTTTAAAACATTTGTACCACCTTTCTAAAATCATTTTCAGGCCTGGGCATTAAATAGTAAAGGCCACTACACGGGTGATCCCCATCGCCCACTAATAATACGAAACCTTCCAGTTGTTGGCGATATACAGTATAGTTTGGCAAGAGTTGAGCTTGAGGTAACGTAATACACTTTGGCCTTAAGGAGATAAGAAGGTTCCCTCCCTTGAGTGTTCTTTCTTTATTGAGCCCATCTTGTCTTCGACTCAAAGGGGAAAATACTCGAGGAAAAACTCCTCCTCGTAAATACACTTCCACTATGATATTCCTCCCGAAGGTAAGCAACTTGGACGCTGTTCAAGTATGATAACCGTTTTTAAAACATTTACTGAACGTTAAGGTTACGAACAACTACATGTACTTATTTTACCTATGATTGTAATGTTTCCTTTAGCCCGTTTGTAATCTGGACCCGAAGCATAATAATTATAAGCCCTTTATGAAATGGAAACCCTTTTTGGGGAATGGCTCACATACTATCGTTTTCAAAGGGGCACCTACCTATTGATCTACCTACCTATCTATTTATGTACATACTTACCTACCTACCTTCTAACTTACATGTTTATCTGCCTACCTACCTCACCTACCTGCCCTACCTACCTATCTACCTACATACCTACCTACCTACCCGCCTACCTACCTAATGCCTACCTACTTACCTACCGATCTTAAAACAAGGGACAAAAAAGAAATGATTCAGAAACTATTCACACTTCCGTGTTCTCCTGTCCATGTCACCAGGTACAAGTGTATAGCGAAAAACGACCTCGGCACCTCGGAGAAGGTGGCCGTCTTGGAGCTGTCTAGGCGGAGAAGGAAGCCGAAGTACACGGTGCAGACGGCCCCGGACCGCGTCGCTTGTGCAGGGGGCAATCTCTGCCTCAACGGCGGCACCTGCTTCCACAGCCCGTCCCTGAACCTCCGCTCCTGTGTCTGTCCGCCACACTACGACGGCGTGCGCTGTGAACTGCTCGACGAGTCGAAAGTGCCTTCCGTCCACATCGGTCCGACTTCAGCCGCGGAGGCTGGCAATAGTCGCAGATCTGGACAACCCAGACAAGGAGAACGTCCACGTCAGCGACAAGGGGGCGTGACCAGCACTGAAACGGAAACGGAAGCGTCACGTCAGCAGACAGCAAGAAACTCGGCAGTGAATAATAATAATGTCGTCAGAGAAAACCAGACTTCTCGCAGACGACTCGACTCGAATGTGAGCGGCAGCGCTGGGAGTGAGAGAAACAATCGAAGGGAGGGAAGCGACACAGAGTCGAACACCGTCAGGTCCACATTACCTGCGAAAAGTACGCCAGGCAGTCAGTTATCAAACGCTCCAACACCAACTACAGCTGCAGGCGCTCCTTCTGAAAGGTCTTCGGGTGGACACATCGATTCTACTAGACGACAGAAATTAAAAACGCGTCCTTCCAACAGGAAATCCTCTGTGTCTTACAACGAGCTACAACACAGACTCCGGAACACACACATCAAAATCATCCACTGTAGAGAAAAACGCTATTGCCACAATGGGGGGCGCTGTAGATATATACCCAAACAGAAGTTCAAGTTTTGTCAGTGTAGGGCTGGTTTTGTAGGCAAACGCTGCGAGAGATCTCTTACATAAAAGTCTTGCTAGAAGAAGGATTGTATGCGTGTGGGTGTGCATTAAAATTTGTTTGTACCATTCCTGCTACCCGTTTTACTTTGTTAATCTGTTAGATGTTTTTGAATTATTGCTCCTGCCCAATGTAATAGGCCTACCATTTTCCAGTTCGTTTTGTTATGTAACATTTGAATGGCTTTAATGTCCTGACAACCTATGCGCGCTTTCCTTGAAGTAGACTCTAATTTTCAGATGCTTAAGACAATGGACAGGCTGTTACATTGCAACACAAGAAGTATTCTACTCAACTCACAATTTCCTGAGAAATTTATCTACGTGTACTTAGCCCCCTAAGGCGCCTGTGGTATAGTGGTTACATACTTCGCTATCGTACGCAAAAGACGTGGATTTTCCCATTTTATATTTTTCTAATTTTTTTTTTAATTGAGCGTCTGTGACTTTCTGCTTAGACACAGTCATTACAATCCTTTCATGCCAAGTGGTCCTGACAGGCAGAGTCGAATCACCTCGCCTCCTTTATGATCTAACTTTGTCAATGAGATCACTAAAACATCTACAGTTACTACAATTACACCCCCACCCAAAACCCACCCTTTTCCTCTCAACTTTTTTCTCTTTCCACGATCTATGAATATCTTCAATTGCCATTCTCTCTTTCTTTGCTTGAAATCACTTGACCACTTCATGCATATTTCTGGTCAGAACCTATTATGGTGCCGATCCACTTGAATGTCTAGAGAAATAATGTGTTCTATTTCATACTATCACTTCCATACCTTGAGGCACTACTTTTGAGAAAAACCATTCCCACCCAAACCCCTTTCACGACTAGCTACAATTTTACTGAAAATTTTAGAAGTCAAAGACAGTCCCAAGTCTAAACAGACACAGAGGGGAAAGGTTTAGCATTGCCGTAGACTAGTAGACCGTCAAGTGAGATAGCTCTCTCCCTCTCTCTCTCCCTCTCTCTCTCTCTCTCTCTCTCTCTCTCTCTCTCTCTCTCTCTCTCTCTCTCTCTCCCATCCCCCCACACACACAACATAACAACTATATTTCTACTTTGCTAACTCAACCACTTTGAATTATAATTACACAGAGATAAGCACAATGTCCATCAATAGCTTTTCTTTCAAACATTTCAGTACTTAATTCATCGTCAACTGGTCAGGTTTTGTGGTAGCTGTTTGTTTCTTTTGTTCGTTTTTATGACAATGTTTGGGCTTCTGCCTCATTAAATTAGACTCCCCGGCTTCAATCAAATATTGCCATTAATTATAATGATCAGATCAAACCCCATTAATTACAAAGGCATACTATGGTGTTATTTTATTGGTTTATATATATATTTTTTGACGTCTTATCCTTGTCTCATCTCTTGTTGAAATGGAATGATAATTATATATAAAAACATGTACTTGTCTGCCACAATAAACGACATAACGAGAAGTTATGAGAAACCTAACTGAATTTTTGTACTATCTATCTATCTATCTATCTATCTATCTATCTATCTATCTATCTATCTATCTATCTATCTATATATCTACCTGCCTATCTATCTATCTATCTATCTGTCTATCTACTGCAAGGGGATAACCCACAGTATGTGGTGCAATAGTTAGCCTCTTCCCTGTCTCACGCAGAAGACACCTTAATTCGCTTCCCGCCTGGGCAAATTTATTTGATCGAATATGTATTGAAGCAACAGAAATATGGTTTCTTGGGAGACTGCTGAGAATATCGTGGAAAGAAAATAAATCAAGTCAGATAGTGCTTGATGAAGCTCAAATGGGGCATTCACTGTTAAAAACAATCAGGGAACGATAAATACAGTTTTGGGACACCTGAATAGACATAAAGGTCTTGAACATCTAGCTCTCACTGGCCAAATTAAAGGCAAACGAGACAGGGGTAGGCCCAGCGCAACCTGAGAAACGTGGCTTATTTTAAGAGCATCAGAGCAAAGGAATGAATGAAGATGTCTGTCGCAGATCTGGCACTGGATGAATGAATGAATGTACGGCGTTGTCTTTGGAAACAGTATCTGATTGAGCCCAGGGAAATACCATGACAATGTAATTATTGTTGTTATTGTCTTTTTCCGTTGTTGTTGCTGCTGTTGTTGTTGTTGTTGTTACTGTTGTTGTTGTTGTTGTTGTTGTTGTTGTTGTTGTTGTTGTTGTTGTTGTTGTTGTTGTTGTGTTGTTTTATAGTACCCGAGCAGAGAAATGAAAACTGAACCATGATCGAGACCATTTATAACCATCTCCGATAAAACTGTGACAAATGCCGAAAACTCCATATATCCGACCAACATTCACAGATTTCCCCGGGAAAGATTCGAACCAGTCTCTCCAGCACAAAGTCACAATGTGGTGTCAGCTGACCTGACAATGCTGCCCCTCACAAAATATCAGATAATATACATCTTCATTGTCCAGATCCTGGCACACTGGTTTGGTGTTTTACCACGTACACACACACACACACACAC